ATTTATTGAGTAGTATATCAGTATAATATGTACAAGTACTATAGTTAATTCATTAATACATTAGCAATTAATTTTCATAGACAATGAAATTTTTATTAAATTCAATTACACTTTTTTAATTTTATCTATTTTATATAACATTATTTATTAGTAAGTATTGTAGCAAAAAAAAATATTTAAAAACTTTACCAAATGTCATTAAATTTGTTTAAACTATAAACGTATTAAGATAACAGTTCCTATAGTTTAATAGATTATTTATTACTAGTATTCTTAATTATTATATATTAAATAAAATAAATTGTTCCCCATAAAATTAATAGCAGCAATTTTGTATGAATTAGGATTTGTGATTTTTTATAGATAATTTGAATTAAAAATGTTATTTAGTAATCTATATTATATTATAGCTTTAATACTATATAGTATACAAACCTTTAGTAAGAAGAAGTCATAAATAATAATAATTTTATAAAAAAAAGATATTTGTGCAAAACAGATTAATTTTACTTTTTATTTTATCCCAATTAAATTTAATATCGTAGATAAAATATCTTTTTATATTTTCATATAATATTTCATATTGCTAGTTTCAAATTTTTTTTTTGTTAACATGAAACACGATTAAACAAATACAATCCAACATATTCAAAAGAAACTTAACGATAAAATAGAATATTGGTAAAAAATCAAATCCAGAAATATCGGTTTTAAAGTTTTTTATCGGATTTGCAGAAGATTTTTCAATATTACAAAATGAAGGTTTTATAGTATTTTTTTTAAATCAATTAATATGCTTTTTTTTATTTACGGGATTGATTACTTTTAAATTAATTCTTTTCAATTAGCTTCAAATACAATGGGTTGATTTTTAATGGGTTAGCTTGACGCATATTATTAAAACGAATTAATAATAAAAATTTTTTGAAAATTTTTAAAAAAAATATAATAATATAATACTGGACTCATTTAAGTAAAAAGACTTCTTAGGTTTTAAATTAAACCATGTTTAACGGAATAAAATGGTAAAAGATTAGAGTATTTCAATGAACTATTTTTGAGATATTAAAGGTTTTTGGTGTTTTCTTAGACACCACGTATCTAGCTCAATAGTGAAAGTATAACCTGTCCCTGCTTGTTTTATTTTTAAGATCCTTTAAAGTCTAAGTAAATTAAACAACTAGATTGACTGCTACAATTACCTCATGATGAATAAATCAAAAACGCCCTGTATATGTATATTATATTGTTATAGTCTAGAAATAACAAATTGTATCTACAAAATTTTACTTAATTTTTCAAAATATAGCAAACAGATGGTAAAAACCACAATAATTAATAGACAATTTTTTTTTATCGCTTTTCTAACATTCTGAGAAAAATCGCTACGTGTTTAATATACCATTTTATATGGTTTTAATTGAAATCAACAACTCAACTTAACTAATTATTTTATAAAATTTCCATAACTATTATTAGTAAAGTTTTTTTTTTATTTATTTTTAGTTTTAATTAAAAACTTTTGAGAAAAAAAATTACTATTGGGACAAAATACGGGTAGTATCGTAACTCCACATATAACATCGTATATGAATAGTTGTCAAGCATTTTCTCTATTTAAGGCATCATTTTTTACTAAGTTTTTATCAAGATTGAATTGATATAAATTAGTACTACCGCATTTATAAATAGATATGCATATCTAAATATATATTACTAAATACAATAAAAATAATTATAAATAATAATGAGATAAATAAATAAATATATAAATACATATAATATATAGATATATATAATATTTAAATATATAAATAAATCGATAAATACGTAGTCCTTATAAAAGAACTATAATATAATATTCTATAATTATATATAGAGTATTTTGAAATTTTTAAAACTGATGAAAGATTAACCAACTTTATATTATAAATAATTTTCAAAGTTATAAAACAGCTCTTCATATTCTAGTACTCTTTATTTTCTTCTCATAGTAAACCATAGGGTTTCCACAATTACTTAAAATCGTATACTTTTCATGTATATAGGTTTTATTAGATCACTTTGTAGATACGTACCTTCTAGATTCCAATTAATATACATGCATTCGATTTTTACAGGTTATGAGAGATCCGCAGTGGTACACTGTATCTTCCAATACTGGGCCAGAATAAGTCTGACTGGATATAATTTAGTTAACCGAAATTGGTTTCTGTTTTTATACATATGTGGGTCCATTGTACTCAAAAATTTGTGCAATGGTTTTATATTATTTTTCGATCTTTCATTGAAAGATTCATTGTGTCGAATTAGCAAAGTATATGTACTTGTAGGTTGTACCATATAGGTTACGTGCTCAATATACATATAGTTAGTTAATTAAGTTTTCTCTTTATTAATTGAATTTCAAACCTACAAATGATGGGTCTTAAAATTTTTATGTTTACGCTTATAGTAAATTAAAAATAGGATTATATTATATCCTATATAAATATAAGATTATATAGAAAAGTACAACATGGCTTTAGGCCGTCTGCTGAATATACATATAGCCGACCGACGGCTAAAATGCCATAGCTGTAAACTTTCTATATATAATATAATTGTTATAAATTTTTAGGTAATACAACAAATTTAAAATGAAGTAAAATAAAGCTAAAATACTACTACTACTACTATATATATAATCAAAAAATAATGAATTGTAGTTTATAAAATTTTATTTAAAATTATTTGTACTATTATTTATAATTAATATTATTAATTAAACCCATCTTATCCCGTTTAAAATTAGTTAATAATATTAAATAAAAATTCGCTAATTATTATTAATAAAGATAAAAAAATGTATAAGTAATAAAAAAAAATTATAAAGATTATTGTTGTTTTTGTTTCATAAAAAAATGTAATTATTTTGTCCTTTTTTATACATAAATTACTCGTTGTAAAAATAATTCATTGTAAAATAAAGCTACAAACTTTATTGTTGATATTAAAAATTATTGAATTAGAGTAGGGACCACATATAACACAACACTCATATTAACAACATTTAACAATTTTTTCATAATAAATTGTAGTTAAAAATTTCTTATAAATTTTATTAGCTTTTTTATTAGAATTTAAAATTTCGTATAATTGCAGTACAAATCTAGATAAAATGTTGAATTAAGTAAAAACAAAAAACATGAATATTATTGTAAATTTAAAATTTCTGTAGAGAATCTTAGGACATACAAAAAGTAAATCCATTTGAAAAACTTCTATATTCATATATTTAATAGGTAAAAATGTAAATTAGTAATTTTTGAGTAGAATCAAAAAGTTGATGATTTTAAAATATCTTTTGAAAATCATGTACTTAAAATAGTTAACATTCCTTGGGTAAAATTAGTACAGAAACTTACTGCTGCGCCGGCCTAAATTAATGCATATCAAAGTAACTATAAATAATTTATTTGTTATTAAATAAGTAATTAACATTTTTGACAATCTAATCGTTATATATATTTAATCATAAAAATTATGAATTATATATTAAAGATATTGTATTTTCAAAAAAAAATATAATAACCTATTTGGTATTAATTATGTATCTACTATATTTCAAAAATATATTTTACACTTTTTATTTTGAGTGCATAAAAATAAATTTACTCTACTATATACTACAATATATGAAAATATAAATAGTATATGTAAAAAATTTCATTTCAAAATTCAAAAGAAAAGCTATTATCAGTAATAATTTGTTTTGTTATAAATTTCTAATCTGTGTTTCTGAGACTTTATTTTAAATATTTATTTGACAAATTAATATTAATTAATTATTATTAATAGTACAACCTCCATACAATATGATATTTCTCATTATTTTTGGTTATTATTCCTATTGTGCAGATTATTCACGGTTAACAAATTGTGAGGCTCCACTAAATCTTGGGGCATCAAAAACTAGAAAATACATACGATAGCAAAAATAAATTATCTCAATTGTTGCTAAGTAATAAAGATATATAGTTATATATATACTTCATAATTTTTCAAATGCAGGACCTCTTGGTATACAGTAACAATTCAGAAGTATTTAGGTTAATATCTATTTTAACAGGGCACTGGTCAATAGGACAACATGGGGCTAAGCTCGATCTACACTATAGTATATCCTAAAATACATATCTACCGGTGCTCGAGGAAAAGAGGCACCCAAACACCAGTTGTATGTATGTTTCCAGACTTTCACAGTACCAGGTTTAAACTTGTGTTGTCCCCTTTCTTTACATATCGACACTATTTCCAGCATTAGCATTGGCCAGACACTCGCATTTATCAATGTTTCCGGTTGGCTCTAACATAACCATTCTTCTACCCATTATTACGAGAGATTTTTGAAATTAAAACGACTTTCGTAGCTAATTGAGGAGGACTCCTCCACTTCAGCTAAGCTAACCTTAATATATATGGAGTAAAGTGTTATCACAGTCACATTCTTTTCATTTTTTGAATTTCGTTATTGCTTTTGTTTTAATTTATTTTTAAAACCAAGCAGTAGAGATTTGAATCAATTGTTTTATGAATAATACCTAATAATGGTGGAAATTCACAAGTAATCTATAAAAATAATACGATAATAAATTTTATTTAAATATCGATTCACTTTTGCAAATTTGTTTGATTCAATTTCTTTCACTTAGTTTATGAGTGGTCCAAACTTCTATATTCCTTTTCTAACCAATTTTAGGGCATTGCCTTTAAATGATGTTGTTATTTATTAGTGAGTTTCTGAGTGATGTAGCCAGTTTTTGTGTATCTTACCGAGAATTTTATTGAGCTTTAAAATAACTAATAAAAATTAGTTGATTACGGTAAAGTAACTTCATCATACACTGAATATAGAATATGCCACATTTTATATCACTCATCTTTGCATTACAATAATGTTTAACGAGAAGCACCATTTGTAAGAAAGTAATATAATAAATCAATAGGTTTAAATGTATGCCTGATGTCTTTATAATATAATATCTTCTTTTGTTCGAAATGGTTAGTTTCCAAATGTACTTCAATGAAAAAAGACAGAAAATCGCTTAATACTTTCCTTCAACCCAATATTATTTTGACTGAATTTTTATTAAATTATTAGTAAAAATGTATAATTAATTAATTTTAATTAATTAAATTTACATTGAACTAATAAATTAACTATATTATTCTAGTTTAAAACGAATATAATTTGTCTTAAGCTGCTATATCAATTTTCAGTTATCAACCTATCTTCACCTTTATTTTCGCAGAGACTTCTATTGAAAAATCTGCAAATAAAAAAATAGATAATTTTAGTACCTGTATCATAAACCATTCTTATCTGATTCGTTTAAATACAACTCATAATAAAACCCAAAAATTTATTTTAAAAACCTGTTATGTTAGAGATGAGGAACTTTGGAAATAGTTAAAATTTGTAAGTTTCATGTATTTTTCAGGAAATTTATTTAGAGATATAGATATATTTATATTACTTACTTAGTTGGCCATTACAGACGTGTGTCGTCCTTGTCCGCGTCGAGTAGCCTCCGCCAGTCAGCCCGATTAATTGCTTTCTGACGCCAGTTGGTAGTACCGAGCGCCCCCAAATCGTTGGTCACCTGGTCCTTCCACCGAAGATGCGGACGTCCTCTACCGCGGTTTCCACCTGCGGGTACCGAGTCAAATACCTGTCTAGCCGGAGCACTTTCTTCCATTCGCACGACATGCCCAAGCCAGCGTAGCCGCTGAATTTTTATGCGCTTAACTATGTCAATGTCGCGATTTAGCTCATACAGCTCATCGTTCGATATATTTATATAGTTATTATATAATACTGATTTTGGCTAAACATTTTCTTTTCAAATTTACATTTATGCACTCAAGTTTCAGAGTAGTATTTTTTGAGGTGTCTTAATCTATATAAAAACGCTAGGTATATACACGTACAGATAAGAAAAAAAATCAAATTACTACTTGTACTAATATATACATTTTCACAACACGTTAAGCAAAAACTAAACAATCAGCATAAACCCGTATTTAAAAGCAGGCTATTAAAAATAATACTTACTAATATAATTTAAAATATTGAAATTTAACTAACCAAACATTTTTTTTCTTTTCTTAAAATCAAAAATTTCTTCATCTTACTATGTCTCTGTGTCAACATTGAAAATGCAAAAACTCATAAACACGCATTTACCATATAAACACTTAACACCATATAACATATGCCAAATGCTTTGGGACTTTGCTTATTTGTGTACGTTTGAATATGTGTGAACTAAACGGACAAATAATTTTGTTTACTTATAATTTAAACACAAAAAAAAACAAAAAAATACTAAACAAATTTGATATTTCCAAACTACAAATGAACTTCAAAAATACCAACATTATATCCACACAACATTTCAACCATACCACAAACCAAATCAACCAACACATTATGGCATACAGCAACAGGAGCAGGACCCAACAAATTTGTATATAGCAAATTTGCCTACACATTTCAAGGAGACCGACTTAGAGAATATGTTATCCAAATATGGGCAGGTTGTGTCTACCCGAATTTTACGTGATCAGCAATTGAATTCTAAAGGTGAGTAGCAATTCTAAAGTAAGATAATTCCTTGCCTATAATTTTAATCCTTATATATCACTTTTAGGCGTTGGTTTTGCACGCATGGAAAGTCGTGAGAAATGTGAACAGATTATACAAATTTTCAATGGGAACACAATACAGGGTGCCAAAGATCCACTACTAGTTAAATTTGCTGATGGTGGTCCCAAAAAAAAGAATCTCTTTAAAACTCCCGATCCCAATGCTAGAGCGTGGCGTGATGGTTCTGAAGGTATACCAGTTACCTATGATCCGGCAATGCAACAAAATGGTGTTAGTGTTAATGTTGGCACTCCAATTAGTGTGCCATATTCGCGTTTCCCACCACCAGTTGGTGGTTATCCAATGGCTGGTTCTCAATGGATACAAGGTTATATGATGCCACAACCTATTGCTCAGGAAGATCATGTAAGAAAATGTTGAAAAAGATATTGATTAACAGGAGTAGCATTGTTTTTATAACATAGGCAGTTAACCTAATGGAAATTATTCGCGATTGGTCCCAAAATGTAGATACAGCTACTATTGAATCACTAGTGTTTCCTAATAATGGAGGCAAAATTTGTCTGGGAAAAATACCGACTAAATAAGAAAATGAAGTTAAAATATTATATCCATATTCGTTTTACAAAAATCTGTTTAATAAATTTTTTATTAAAAGGCGAATATAGAATTTTCGGGAACAAATAAATATATAATAACATCTACTATATTGATTAATTATACGATTACTTGCTGTTGTTTGTTATAAATTTTTTATTCAATATATTCCTGCAATGAATTGAAGGAATAAGTCGCGTAATTCTTAACATAAGATTTTGGGTCAGTTGGTTAATGAACACTAATTCCGAGCTTCAAATGTGGCAGAGTACGAGTTCAACACTTGGCATTTGCAGTATCAAAAAATTATTTTCTAATAATTTAATTGAATTAAATTTTTTATTTAATATCCTCCTGCAAGGAAGGAATGGAAGTAAAAAGTCATAGAGTTTTTAACATAAAAATTTGGATTAATTGGTTAATGAATACTGACTCTGAGCTTCAAATTTGGCAGGGTATGAGTTCAACTTTTGCTATTTGCAGTCTCAAAAAATTATTTACGAATAACTAAATATAAGAAATGAACGATAATTGGCAACACACGAAACCAAGTAGTAAATAGCCAAATATTCAATTAATTAAAAATAATTAAAAATTTTTGTTGTTGCAATTCACTACTCTTCAATAAAACTTTTTTACTGAAAACAATAGTTTATATTAAGAATTTATTTCTTTCGTCAAAACGGACGTTTAACATAAATTTAGTAAGAATTTAGAACAATCATGGCTACAGATTTTGATTACTACTGTACAGCGAAAAGATTAGGCAAGAAATTGCTCTTGCATGAATTGTTTCTAAGGCCATGGAATTTGCAGCACAATAGTGTAAATAATTATCTTATAATGTGTCCATCAATAAGTATATTATTATCTTGCGATAATCAAGCACCATTTGCCTGACAGGCAGATTTTAAAATCAGAATAGTCCAATGATATTTCCAGTCCAAATTCTGAATATAATTTTTCCCATCTCATTTATTATTCTTTTAAATATTCATTTTTAATGATATATACCATCATTCAGGTTGAGACAGTTATAAGAACAAAAACCTTCATTTATTTAATAAAAAAAATAAATTTTATTAAATATATTAATTTTAATTTTCATTTTAGTACATGCAAATGGCTGCTGCACCACAACTTGGCGTTGCTTCCTATAAACCTGATGCTGTGAATCAGGTACAACCTCGTGGTATATCAATGATGGTTAGTGGAGAAACAGCTGTACCATATGGAGCAATGGTGCCACAATTGGCCACATTACAAATTGGCAGCTCGGTTAGTACGATAAAATTATAATACAAAAGATAAGAATAAATCCTGTTATTGTATATGTGTTAATACATTTTAAATATTAATATGTAAGAATTATATTTTATATTTCTATATCCTCTTTCATTGATTTAAATAATAATTTGTCATTTTAATTCGGTACAATATTTAAATACTATGTTAATTTGTGTTAATATATTTTCTTTTAATTTTTTTCTTTTTTTTTGTTTTTATAGAACTTTTCTCCATCATTACAGTATATTAGTCCAACTTATCCATACTATGCACCTCCAACAATTTTTCCAACAATGCCAATGACAGATTCTGAACAAGCTAGCACAGCTGCATCACCCGATGAGGCATATACACAGTATCCGCATCCAGCTGCCCCTAAATAGGTTTTCGCGAGGTGAGTGCGTGTATTTTGAAGAGTTTTTCTGCTTTAAGTAAAATGAGAGCCAAATCTTTAAATCACTATCCGTTACTTTAACCCATTAACTTACGGGGGTGAGATCTATATTCTTTAAGTATATTGCATGCAATCTTTAATCACAATACTGATTGATATTAATAAGCTATTCCACAATAGAACTAATTGCTCCAAAAGCGGCATTAAGTCTAAACTCTAATTGCTTTAATCTTTATTTTGCATTCGCTTCTAAATTTTGTATAAATATATCCTATCCATTGATAATCTTTGGTGCATATACTTACTATATTTATTTTATATATCATGTAAAAGATTACAAATCCATATAAAACAAAACGGTATATTTTAAAAAAGAATTATTTATTTGCTAAGAAAAAATTTAAGACACTTAAATTTAACTTAATTTAATTAAAAAAAAAATTCTTTAGGATTTGATTTGCTTGTCCTGCTTGCCTGTTTGCTTTATATATTATAAATCTTAGAAATTTGAAATAATCTTACAAACATGAAACTTCACACAAAAAACTGCTGGCAACCCTAAATGCACTTGCAATAATTTTTTAAATGCTTGGTTTTTTTTTAATTTATTTTTTATTTATTATAGTCTTGAATTTTATTTTTTTTTTATTATAAATTACAAATCTTAAATAAAGTCAATAGAATAATAAGAAACCAATAGAATGAACTATCGCATTATGCTCTAAAAGTCATCTAGATCAGAGTTTCTTAATCAATGGTCTGTAGCATTCTCACCACTAGTCCAAAATATAAATTTTTTTATTATAGACCTTTTAAATAGTTTAAAATAAATATTAAAAATATACTGCTTTTAAAATTAATTGTTATATATTATAGTTTTTATATAATATTGGTACTGGTCTTCGAAAATGCATTGAATATTTTTCTGGTTTATAGTATTTTTAGAATTAAGAAAACTGATACCAATATATTTTAGTCAATATATTTCTAACAATTTTATCTAAATATTACATAAAATTAAAAATTAATTTTAAAAAACATATATAAAAAAATTTAATTAAAATTAATAATTTAAAATTATTAAACCAGTTAGCAGATAACTGCAGATTTGGACACAAAAATAGACAAATTCAGAATAGACAAATTCAGATTATTATTTTTCAAAGATATTTTTCTTTAACAGTTTTTTGATAAAAATATTTTATTATATTATTATTTAATATATTATTATATATATATTATTATATTATCAATATTTTGTAACCAAGAGTTACAATATATTAAAATTTCCAGAACGAAATCGAATAAACCAATCCATAGTACGACATTTAGAGTATGGCGTAACGCCATATAATGCTTTTGCGATTGTTTCGCTTTCTTTGTAGCGTTCAAGCAACACGTACCGTATTTCTTCTTTTTCTATGATATATTATTCATTTTTAGATCAATATAACTTTTCACTCAAACGAGGAATTACACAACTGATTTATATATATGTATTTATATATATTATTTATATACAATTGGGTTATAAATGTATTGTAGGTATCATAATTAATGGTAGTAGTTTCTCATGAATTTTAGGTAGTTGAGTCGAAATACTTATAGGTCTATATAATGACGGCAAAGATAGGTCATTTCCTAGGTTAAAAATTTTTTTTATTTAAGAAAATTTGCATTGCTTTTTTTTTAACTAACTAATTGGTCGAGTTAACTATAAGATATAGTCAAAATGTTGTAGGTAAATACTAAATTCTTTTTAGTACTGGGGTGGGAATATTTTTAACAATTAATTTAGATTTTCTTTTCTTACTAATGTATGTTCTTTTACAGAAGCTGCATGTTAAATTATTTTAAAAATGTTTCTAATAATATCATTTTTTAATTTTTTACAAAAGATTTAATGATAAATCCAGATCATAAATAAAAAGTTAATATTTTGGAATAGTACTTAGTTCACTTTTTGAATTCTTTGCAATTGATATTTAATTTAAAAAATTATTTAATTTTAAATTTACTTCAGTCTCCTTATTAGTTAAAATATTCAGTTAATATATTTGTAGCATATATATTGAAATTTCATTTAACTAAAATTTGGTACGAATATATAAAATTGTAGGTAAACAAATGTCATAAATAAATTTTTTTTTTAAAAAAAATAATGCCATCGGGAAAATTTCAGTTTTTTTAATAAAATTGCATCTAATTGCAAAATTGAAATAAAAATAAGGAATCTAAATTTTCGGTTTATATTTTGAAAAAATATATATATAATATATTTTTTCTCGCCGACGCGTCTTATGACGAAAAGAAAGTATTTAAAAGGTAATCGGGTTTGAATAGAAATGAAACGACAACAATGAAAATTTCAACGAATTGAAATCCTGACACTTGTTGTCCAAACTTATTATATACGGACTATAAACTAATTTTAAAAATTCGAATATTTCCTAAAACCACTTATGCTGAGTACTTGGCAATACTCGAAACAGCGTTGTTTTTGAAGAGCATCGAAAGCACAGTGAGACCTGAACAACCCACTAAAGCCAAAATTTAAAGACAGCCAAATTTCAATAGATTAACTAAAACTTTTCTTTGTTGTTTTTTCATTTCTATTCGAACCCTTATAAAATTCTTTTAAATTTAAAAAAATTAAATTGTTTAAACTTTTTTTAAATTAATCGAATATTTTATATTTATATATAATAATATATATAATTATATATATTAAATTTAATATAATATATAATTATATTTACAACATTAAAAATTTTATCTCTATCATTTACATTGTCTGAGATATGGCTATTTAAAAATTAGTCTAAAATACAAATTCTTAAACACTATAAGGTCTGTATTTCCTTGAAAAAAAAATTTTACAACTGTTTTCCAAGTTTTTTTTAATATACCTTACATTTTATTTGAAAAAAGGAACTTATAAAATAAACTTCCTCCAAATCGGAGCCGATGAAGTCAATTTTATATATATTTATATTAAAAAATTATAAATTTATAATTTTTTTATTTATTTCAATTTTTTTTAGTTAAGCTTTACTTATAATATAAAACCCACAAAAATTGAAAAATTTTCTATTAACAAATTTTAATTAAATTTTTTTTTTTATTTTACAGATGTAATTTCATATTACCACACTTAACATTGTAACGCGATAATATCTGAACTGGATTCGGATTATAAACATTAATTTTCTTTAAAATTAAACAAGCAAGGAAACAAGAAAAAACCATCAAAGATGAAAAAGCAAATTTACAACTACAAAACTGTAGTTAAAAATATTTTTAATAACACAATTTTTTTTTAATGATTATCTGTTTAAGTGACGAAGATGAAAATAAGACTAAAATTTAAATAAAAATAATATTTAACAAAAAGTAATTTACAAACAATTAAAGAGAAGCAAAAATATATAAAAACATATTTTGTAAAAAAAAGTTAAACAGAAGTAAAGATATAAAATTAAGGAAATATGAACAAAAAGCGCAAATTAGAATTGCAAAATAAAGTTGAAGATGCTAAAAACTAAATTAATTTCTAATGCAAAGCCACATTGGAACTCAATCTCATTCTAAGTCAGTCAATAGAAGAGCAAAAATAGACGTAAACGACAAAAAAATAAGTTTGGTGCTTAAAGTATAAAAATATAACGCTTTTTTTTATACTTACTGAATTGTTTATAAAATAACTTAAAAACAGGCGAATGTTTTTAACTTCCAATACATTTGCAAGAATTTATTATTATTACATGAAAATTTTGGGTAAAATACCTATTTGTAATTCTCAGAAAAAATAAAATAAAGATCACTGATCGATCATTAAAATCAACCCATTTTTAAAAATATTTTTTTTATTATATTTTTTAATTATTTTTTTATTTTATTATCTTTTTTATTTTATTATTTTTTCATATTTTAAAAATATGAATGTAATTTTTTTTAATAATTTTTTTTTATATATTTTTTAAT